ATAATATCATCGCTGTATCTTTGTGATCTTTGAATATAAAGATTTCAACTTAATGCCCAGGGATCACATGATGCACAACATGCTATTGAAAGCATCTTCTTCTGCTATAACCAAAAAGCTTAATATTAGCCCAGACACTCGTGTATCTATGAATATTGTTACGATCCCAGCTGATGTTGCTCCTGGACAAAAAAAAAACCCAAAGAACTGTGGATGCTGGAAATTAGAAACAAAAACAGAAATTCCTGGAAAAATTCAGCAGGTCTGGTAGCATCTGTGGAGTGAGAAACAGAGTTAACATTTCAGGTCCAGTAACCCTTTTTCAGAACACGATTTCTCAGGACCTGCTGAGATTTTCCAACAATTTCTGTTTTTGTTTATGACTGGACAAGTCAGATTTCAAACTGAAATCTGGCTTGATAAATCATATTGTGTTTTTTTTCCTTTTAGTTTTAATAATGTGGTCTTTCACTGAAACAAAAGCATGGAGTACTGCAGATTTGGTTTTAACAATAAAGCAGAAGTTTATTACACAAAGGAAACAAAGATTTTAAAAAAATCCAAAATATTTATATATAACACACATTTAAGTATTTTGAACACATGGTAAAAATACAATCCCAATAATTCTAACATCATCCAAATACATTACTCAAACACTAGAGAGAATTATTCCTGATCAGCAGGCACTTGAGGTGGTATGTAGGTTCCCACATTTGGCCTGAATTAGGGCTTGAATTTCCAGTCATGAGAATTTGATAGCTTCTTCCATGAATCATCATATAATTGAACTTAAAATCCCTCAGCTTCACATAACACCTTCGAGATTTGAGCAAAACACTTCTGGTCTGGAACTTTAAAACTGAAATCCTTACACAGAAGTGACCAACTTCCTTTACAGCCCTAAACTACCTCCCTTTCTCAGGAGCAACCATTTTACAAACAATTCCAAACAAACTAAAAAACATTTTTTCAACCTATGGCTATTTACTGTAACATGAAAAAAAAATCCAGAATCTTCTTTGTGAAAGTCTAATCCTTTACACTGTTTACTTTGATCACTCATAAAGTCTCCCAATGTAAACAAAATTCTATTGCTGTTCAGGAAGTCCCTGTCAAATACAGTCCTTTTAAAATAATCATGATGGGTACTATTACTCACAAGTTAACCACTAAAACCCTTCAGACACAAAGGAAACCCATGTGCTACTAGTTCAAAATTAAAAAATACAAATTAAGTGACATTTAAATATAATATATATATAAATTACATATCTCACATTACAATGTAATAATTATATATTGTAATGACCATGTTATTTTATTTTCTGTATTTTTGATTGCAGACTAAAATGGAAAAGTGGACTGTTTTAAACTGTGGAAGGAATTACTGTTCTTCTAAAAACAAGCTACTGAAAGCCATGGAGCATCAGAGGAGCAGGAAAGCTAACATTTCGGGTCTGGACCCTTCTTCAGAAATGCGGGAGGGGAAGGGGGCTCTGAAATAAATAGAAAGGGGGGAGGCGATGATAGAAGATGGATAGAAGAGCAGATAGGTGGAGAGAAGACGGACAGGTCAAGGAGGTGGGGATGAAGACAGTAAAGGTGAGTGTAGGTAGGGAGTTCGGATGGGGGTTGGTCAGTGAGGAGGAAGGGGCTGGAAGGTGGGAGGGAAGACGGACAGGTCAAGGAGGTGGGGATGAGCCCACTGACTCCCACAGCTACCTAGAATACACCACCTCTCACCCACCCTCCTGCAAGAATGCGATCCCCTATTCCCAATTCATTCGCCTCCGCTTCATCTGCTCCCAAGATGAGGCATTCCACTCCTGGACATCCCAGATGTCCTCGTTTATCAAGGACCGCAATTTCCCCTCCACAGTGGTCGAAAACGCCCTCAACCTCATCTCTCGCGTTTCCTGCATCTCAGCCCTCACAACCTCTCCCCACAATAACAACAAAGACAGAATTCCCCTTGTCCTCATGTATCACCCCATCGACCTCCGGATTCAACGCATCATTCTCCGCCACTTCCGCCACCTGCAATCTGACCCCACTACCAAGGATATATTTCCCTCCCCACCTTTATCTGCCTTCCGGAGGGACCGCTCTCTCTGTGACTCCCTCATCTGCTCCACACTCCCCACTAGCCCCACCACCCCTGGCACTTTTCCCTGAAACTGCAGGAAGTGCTACACCTGCCCCTACACCTCCCCCTCACCTCTATCCCAGGCCCCAAGAAAACCTTCCACATTAAACAGATGTTCACCTGCACATCTGCTAATGTGGTATATTGTATCCGCTGTTCCCCATGTGGCCTCCTCTACATCAAGGAAACCAAGCGGAGGCTTGGAGACCGCTTTGTGGAGTACCTACGCTCGGTTCGTGACAAATGACAACACCTCTCAGTCGCGAACCACTTCAACTCTCCCTGCCACTCCTTGGATGACACGTCCATCCTGGGCCTCCTCCAGTGCCACAACAATGCCACCCAAAGGCTGGAGGAACAGCACCTCATATTCTGCATGGGAACCCTGCAGCCCAATGGTCTCAATGTGGACTTCACAAGCTTCAAAATCTCCCCACCCCCGACCTCATCCCAAGACCAGCCCATCTTGTCCCCGCCTCCTTGACATGTCTGTCTTTTCTCCCACCTACCCGCCCCTCCCGCCTCACTGACAAACCCCCATCCCAAATCCCTACCTACACTCACCTTTAATGGCTTCATCCCCGTCTCTTTGACCTGTCCGTCTTCTCTCCACCTATCTGCTCCTCTACCCACTTTCTATCATCGCCTCCCCCTCTCTCTATTTATTTCAGAGCCCCCTTCCCCTCCACAATTTCTGAAGAAGGGTCCGGACCTGAAACGTCAGCTTTCCTGCTCCTCTGATGCTGCCTGGCCTGCTGTGTTCATCCAGCTCCACATCTTATAATCTCAGACTCCAGCATCGGCAGTTCCTACTATCCCTACTGAAAGTCATTGTGTGTAGCGTCTACGCTGCTGCTTTGTTCAAGCAGTGACGGGAAGCTGTTTGTAGATGACACAGCATCAATGTGTGTATCAGAGTGAGCTTTGGCTGGTAACAAGTAGCTGATTGGTTTGTGCAATTGTGACCTGTCATGGATGCTAAAGTTAATCAGCCTGACAGCAAATCTCTGATTGGTTCCTGGGCAGCTGCACCACTTTTGGGTGTGAACAATACAGTGAGGAGCCTCTAGACTACTGGAAGAGCAGGTGGTATATCTCTTTCTCTGCAGTAAAATTGTCAATCCCTCTAGTTATTGTTCCCTTTAACCAGTAACTAAAAGACTGTGTAGTTAGTGTACCAATTGCTCTGTGCCTCCTATGCAGAAGTGAAAAGAACTTGGAGAAAAGAGATTGAAGAACAGACAGTCCTGACAAGCAAAAGGATAATCTCAGTGAACCCTGAGGACAGGCGCAATTGAACTGTCATTCTCAGTTTTATTCCGCTCCGCCGTAAAACCGATATTTTTTGTTTGGCTGTTTCTGTCTGTATGTGTATGTTGAGATTTTAAAAAGGGGATTAGAGTTTTAACTAGTGGAGCCATGTGTTAATAGTTCACAGCTGTTCACTTATGATTAGGATTCACTAATTTCTAATAAACAGTAGTTCTTGTTAAGTACAAAAACCTGCTCTGATAACTCGATCCCAACATAAGTAAACTGGGGACTTTGTGTGCTTTGAATGGATCATTCGCTTATGTGGTAACCTCAGGAGCAGTGGGGGTTGAGAATCAGCACACTTTCCTAACTGGATCACAACAATATCTTTTAATAACACATGTTCTATGCCTGGTTTTTTTAAAGTATGAGGTTTAACATAAATACTACTGTATCAGGTAAAGTTACCCTGATGGAGAGAAAACCATCATTAAGGCTACACTGTTAGAGGTGTATCTTTCAGATGTGACATTAACTAAGCCAGATGTATGTGTGAGATTCAATTGTACTATTTTGTAGAAGAACAGGAGTATTATAAGTGGTACAGTGAGCCTTCTTCAGAACTGATTGTAGCTAGGAACAGATTGATATCTACAGATGCTGCCAGACTGCTGAGTTGTTCTGGCAATTTCTGCTTTCGTTTCTGATTTCCAGCATCCGCAGTTCTTTGATAACAAGGTGTAGAGCTGGATGAACACAGCAGGCCAAGCAGCATCAGAGGAGCAGGAAGGCTGACGTTTTGGGCCTAGATCCTTCATCAGCAGTTCTTTGTTTTTTTTACTGTTATTACTGATGTTCTGATCAATATTTATTGCTCAATCATCGTCACAAAATGATTGTTTGGTCATCAACACATGGCTGTTTGTGAGAGGTTGCTGTGCACGTATTGGCTATCACATTTTCTATATTCAAATTTTTGTCTCCACAGGTACTTCCATACACCCCGAATATTGATAACATTTTCTGTTTATTTCAAAATGAGGAGATTCTTCCCCTAATTGTCAGTCATGGCTCAGTTGGTAGCACACTCACCTCTGAGGCAGAAGATTTTGGATCCAAGTCCTATTCTAAGACTTAAGCACAACAATCAAACTGTACTCCAGTATAGTACTGAAAGAATGCTGCACTGTTGGAGGAGCTATCTTTCAATGATACACTACACTGAGTCGCTATCTGCCCTGTCAACCAATAGAAAAGAACTCAATGGACTATTTCAAAGAAGCTCAAGTGAATCATCCTAGTGCCCTGGCCAATAGTTATCCCACACCAGCATCACAAAAAACAGATTAATGGTTATTTTTGCATTACTACCATTTAAAACACACTTAATTGGCTGTAACTCACTTTGAGGCATCCAATTATCATGCAAGGCACTATATAAGCGCAAGGCTTTCTCTTTTTAGTCTATTCTCCAAGTTGTGCTGCCACTCAGCATCCTTCTGAGGCAGGAGCAGGGTTTATGTGAGTTTATTGAGGCATCATGTTATTGTACTATATCCGCTTGCTTCTGCAATCAATACAGAGATTTGTCACATACCTTACCACTCAATTGGTTTTTCACTGTCAGGAATGTTCCTGGTTCCTTCTGTATGATGTCACTTGGTAACAGGCAACCCCTCCCTGGATCAAACAAGATTGCTGTTCCCTGCAGAAAACGAGCAAAGAATAAAATGAATCATAAGATCACACAAATGGTTCACTGCAGAAATGCACTATCTTGTATATTTCTGTTCCACAGAAACTAACTCTGATGCCTTTTTGTTCTGAATTGGCTAATCGTAGATGGGGTAATGGTACGTGCTACAGTCTTTATTCAGTGGGTTAGATTCTCTGTCCAGTGATTGTGGCTGGGAGGTGAAAACATGCAACATCATAGTGGGACAGCCTGCTTGCACTCACTGTCAAAAAATACAAAGAGAATGGCCACTTGGGTGATGTTTAGTAACAGCATCCCCACTTTTCAAGCTAGCAGAGGTAAAGGGAAACAATCAGGGAAAAATAGAATAGGGAGAAATAAGTAAAGAATCTGGAGGAAAGAGAATACAGGACAAAAGGCTCTGTGGTTCTGTGCAGGGAAATTGAAGAAAGAAGTTACATCCAGTGGGAAGATTTCTAAGCATTTGGTTTTAATAGAGCAAAAGGTTTAAGATTCTGGAGACTCAGAGATAATGAGAGATTCCAATGGCAAAACAGAGAGTAGTCTCTCTTTTTTAAAGAAACTAAGGCACAAGCACTGTTCGTTGCTGCACTTCACTTGTTACAGCAGTCAATCCATGTTAATGTATTACCCTTAATCCAATGAGACCTAATAATACACAAAAGAGAAAGGTTCAGAAGAAGGCTCACTGGACCCAAGACATTAACTCTGCTTTCTCTCCACAAATGCAGATCACTTGGAGAGTGCCACATCACCTGTTTCTCAGAGAAGGTAGGATAACAACTTCAACCACAAGGCCATCAGGCAGTGGAATGAATGTAATGTCATCAAGGCCCTTCAGTAAAAGAAAATGGTGCATCCTGTCAGGTGGTATCCGGAGAAGACGACCAAAATCATTTGGCAGAACGTTGGATCACCAGACGTGTCAAAAAAGTGCCAGGCTAATGGTGAGAAGGGCTCTCCTCATCAGATCCTTCCTGGATAATTGACTGCTAATATCATTGCTTTTCACATCAATTGCCTCTATATTTTTCAAGAATCTGGTCTATGGAAGCATCTAGAAACACACACACACACACACACACACACACACACTCTCTCTCTCTCACCAACCTGCGCTCAATATCTCATTGCTTTACTTTCTCTGTCTTTCTCTGTAATCTTATCATTCCTATTTCATATCTCTCTCTATATATCTTACCTATTCTCTCTTATAGCAACAACGCTGCTCTCTCTACCTAATAGTCCTCAATCTCTCCCCAGTTTTCTTGCCAGTTCCAATCTTTCCATCACAAACTGCCTTCAATTTATCTCTACCTCTCACAGTTTCCAATCTCTCTCCCTGTTACCACTTGATCTCTCTCTCTGTTATTGTCCCTACTCCTCACATCTCTCTTACACAAACCTTACACTTTCTCTCCATCACTACATCCCCACTCCCTTTCCATCTCAACACTCGTAATCTCAGTCAATGTCACAAGTGCTACCCTCTCAATTTCACCATACCTAGACTCTCTCTTACTTACCATACTCTTTCTCCATCCATGTTAACTTCGCTATATACTTCATCTGCCTTTACAGACTCAATGCTCATTAATGTTTCTGTTCTTACTTATAAAGTCCATGTAATCTCTGTATTAGTTCCAGCAGTTCTACCAATCAATCCCAGCACTCCCTATTGGTCACCACTTGTCAATGTTGCATATAGTCAGGTCTTGCTCATGTAGACTTTTCAACTTTTAGGTAAGCAATGAGTTATCTTGTCTTTAAAAGTTAGGGAAATGTTCCCAAAGGTCCACAGATTCTGAGATCCCACTCTTTGACTCCTTAGGTTTCAGTACTGGAGATGTCAACCTGCATCAGAACCTCACTGATTTACTGAATTTGTGTTCTGTTTTTACAAGATGTCAGTATTGTACTATGGACTTATTTCCAGTGAGGTAGGATAACATTTCTGTTGCTTTTAATACAAACTCCTTTCCAAAGGCAGCACTGAGCTGTAGATTTGGGTAGCACAGGTCGATCAACAGCTGCGAGATTCGGAGACTCAAGAGCTGAGTTTGAATTCAGAATCCACTCCCAGCTCTCCTCTTTCTGAGCATGGTAAAATATGCTACAGTGGGGAAGAGGGGGAAATGAGTTGCAATCTTTCATAATGGAGACTAGTGCTGATTTCAGATCATGTCTGCTTCTCACTCTTGTGGACCAGTCTGTTTCTGCTGCCACCTAATGGCCAATTAGGAAGAACGAGAATTAGAGAATCTTACAGTGCAGGAGATCAATCAGCTTGTGTTGATGCTTTAAAACAGCAACTGATTTGTCCCAACTTTTCATCCTTTCTCAATACATTTTTTTACTTTTTGAAATATTGTTTCACTTCATATTTACAACTTTTTTTTCTGGAATCTGCCACCCCACTATTACTAGTATTCTACATTTGAACTCTCTGCATGAAATATTCCCAAATCTGTCCTATTTTTTGGTTTATTGAACTGAAGGAAAGCTATTATTAAACTGAATATATTTAGTTGGACATGATTTTGACTTTGTTTTTATAAAGTTGTAACCTTCCGAAATTCTTTAGGTTATTCAAGAAAGGAGAGAGACAGTAACCTGGAACCTACAGGCTAGCTAGTTCAATATTTGTCAGAGGGAAATTACTAGAATCTGTTATAAGAAGGTTATGGCACAAATACTTAGAGAATCAAAATGTGTTTGGGAGAGTATAGAGGGTGACATGGTGCCTCAGTGGTTAGGACTGCTACCTCACAGTGCCAGGAATCTGAATTTGATTCCAGCCTTGGGTGGCTGTCTGTGTGGCGTTTGCACATTCTCCCCTTGTCTGTGTGGGTTTCCTCCGGGTGCTCTAGTTTCCTCCCACAGTCCAAGGATGTGCAGGTTAGGTGGATTGGCCATGCTACGTTGTCTGTAGTGTCCAGGTATGTGTTGGCTAGGTGTATTAGCCATGATAAACGTGGGGTTGTAGGGTAGGGATCTGGGTGGGATGCTTTTTGGAGGGTCAGTGCAGACTTGATGGGCTGAATGGCCTCTTCCTGCACTGTAGGGATTCTAGAGTCAGTATGTGTTTGTGAAAGGGTTGTGTTTAACTAATTTATTAGAGATCTTTGGAGAGTAAATTAAGGAGAATCAGTAGATTTGATGTAATTGGATTTCCAAAAGGCACTTAATAAAGTGTCAGATTAAAAATGACAACACACGATAAGAGCACAGGGTGCAGGGAGTAACATATAAGCATAGATAAAGGATTGGATAGCTGAGCACTTTATGGGTCTCTTTCATTTATCAAGCTGTAACTAGTGGAGTATCATAAGCTGAGGCCTCAACTATTTACAATCTATATAATTGACTTGGATGAAGGAACTGAGAGGAATAATGTCCATACCTCTGAGCCAGGAGGCTTGGGTTCAATTGCTACCAGCTGCTGAGATGTGCGGTAACATCACTGCCGAAGATACTTGATGAAGGAACCAAATGTCCGGTAGCTAAATATGCTGATGATGTGAAGATGGGTAGGAAATAAGTTGTCAAGAGGAGGCAGACAGTTTGTAAACCAATATAGGTAGGTTAAGTGAATGGGCAAAAAAAAATTGCAGATGCTGTTTAATATGAGAAAATGTGAACTTTGCCACTGTGGCAAGAGAATAAAAACGTTGTTTACTACTTAAATGGGGAAAAAGTGCAGAATTTGGTGGTACAGAGGGATCTCAGTGTCTTGGTCCTTGAATCATTAAAGGTTAGTGTGCAGGTACTGTATGTTCTTAGGAAGGCAAGTGGAATATTGGTGTTTATGGCAAATAGAATGGAATATATTATTGTAGCTGTACAGGACAGTGGTGAAACCACATTTGGAAAATTGTGTACAGTTGTGGTCTCCTTATTTGTAAAAGAATGTAATTGCTTTTGAAGCAGAGAAAGTTCACCTCTTTCCTGGGATGAAGGGTTTATCTTGTGAAGAAAGGTTGAACCTCATACCCATTGAAGTTTAGTAAAATAAGAGGTGCTCTTACTGAAACAAAAAAAGATCTCAAGGGCACTTGATGGTGAAAACTGGAAGGATATTTCCTATTTTGGGTGAGGATGGAGCTAAGGGACACGGTTTAAGGATAAGCAGTCTCCCCTTTCAGACGAGGAAGTGGAGAAATCTTACCTCTCAGAGGGCCATTAGTCTGTGGAATTCTCTGCCCCAGAAAGCAGTGAAAGCTGGGTCATTGAATTTATTTCAGGCAGAGTTAGGTAGATTTTTTAGTAGAAAGGGAAGTCAATGGGGACAGACAGGAAAGTACAGTTAATACTACCACCAGGTTACCATGATCTTGTAGATTGGTGGAGCTGGCTCATAGGGCCTAATGGCCTACTTGTCCTAGTCCTAAGTCCTAGGTTCCTAAAAATGCTCTTAATAATTGAGAAAGTTTTTAAAAAATGCTTTCATATACAGTGGCCCTGATCTGGTCAAAGAACTAAATGGAGAGGGGACAATCTTTCAGAACAGGAGAAGGCCATTAGGTTAAACCACCCAGTCCCTTGCTGGATAATAGTCACATCACTAATACATTCCGCCATCACTTCTCTTTCTGGAGGACTCAAAAAGTTGATTCACTTCATTGACCTACCTTAAAGAATGAAAGAATCCCTAGAGTGTGGAAGTAGGCTAATCAGCCCATCAAGTCCACACTGACTCTCTGAAGAGTATTCCACCCAGACCAATCCTATCCATGTAACCCTGCATTTCCAATGCCAAGCCACCTGACCTGCACATCTCTGGACTGTGGGAGGAAACCGGAGCACCCTGAGGAAACCCATGCAGACATGGGGAGAATGTGCAAACTTCACACAGACAATCACCTGAGGTTGGAATCAAATCTGGGTCCTTGGTGCTGTGAGGCAGCAGTGCTAACCACTTAGGACCATGCTGCCCTTTATTCCACATATCCTTTTCATTTTGGATTTGCAGCTGTTCCCCAATATTT